ATATATGTTTTTTCTCTTGTTTTCTTTTTATTTATTTTTCTACCATTGTTATTGCTGAATCTCTTTCAAAGAAAATGCACTGAAAAAACACTTGCCATTGAATATCTCACAGATTGATCAGGCCAAATAGACGAGTGGAGCTAAAGATGTCATTATGTTTAGCCAATGAGAGTGCGCTTTGAGGTATCAGATATAGCTAGCTAGATATGTAATTATTTGTATAATATTCTTGATATTATTATAATTCCTAGAGGTGGAACAAAAATTTCCCTCCTTTCTTTATGAAAATGAAGAGTTCCTTATCATTAACAGCCATCAGAATAATCTTGGAAAAAAGTCAATTTCATTTTTGAGCTCAACAGGCTAAATGGCAGTGGAGCTACCTGGTTGTATGTCCCTTGCTGTTAGCAAGCAGGAATCATATAGGATGTTTGTGTAGATGAGTATGGAGGAGAGTAGAATGTGTGAATTAAGTGTAGGAGTGTGTGCATCATCACTTATAGTTATTTTAGTTATTCCTCTATTATCAGATATCTTTTCCTCAACATATTGGCAGTAGTAAGATTATTATAGAAAATACCATTTTAGCAAATGAATATATAATGAAATAAAATACTACTGCCTAACAATGTTGGCACTTTGTGTTACTATCACTATTAAAATGCGTTTTTAGAAAAAAGTGGCTGAGCCACATATAGCAATGGGGATCATTATTTAAAAGGTCAGCATACTATACAAGCCTTACTACCAAGACAAAACAGCATTTGTAAATAAACATGCTTCTGAGCACATTGATCTATGAAGTTGCTAGTATTTAAGACTATAAACACTGTTCCATAAGGGGGTTATTATTATTAAATTCACAAGAAAGAAAACTGCTTAAAAAAATATATCTCATTTTCAGTGCATGATGTAAACATAATTCAATGTAAACTGATTTGTAGTATGTAATTGCTTAACCCAATGCAGCTGTGGATGGCATGTACAGTTCTCCAAATTCCAAATGGCACACCCCCCATGGTGCATGGACTGCATTTTTTCTGGCAATACATGTGTAGTATCCAGTATTCTTTAAATGGAATGCTCTTGTTTGGAATGAAGTCAATGATTGGCTCATGGTATTTTCACTGATAGCTAGTTTTAGCCATTGAAATTATATAAAAAGTTTGGAGACTTTACAGTTTTTGTCCATTGCCATCATTATTTCTTGAAATATGTGAAGTTTTCCTTAAAACGGGTAAATGGAACTGGTGTAACTGGCAACTGTAGCACAATCACATAGTCAAACATCAGTGACAATAATTAATCTCAAATCAGTCTTTGACAAGATATGTTGATGTAAAGAGGTATATAAGAGTTTTTGTTAAATTTATATATGTAAAACATTATTTTTTGAAAGGAAATTATGAATGACAAACTAACCCCTGGATGGTGTGACCATCACGCCATGAAAAATTTTGCTTCAGGTGTGGGTGATGTGAACTTGCTGTCATTAGAATTTCAACTTACAGCCGGGGTGATGGGAATGACTCTCAAGTTATGACTAAAATAGTGCTAGCTCCAGGGAGATTGCTATTTCCATGCTTAGGATGCTATTCCTGGTCACCATGACTGGTGGGGCAGGATTTATTACAGAAAATTGAATATGAAAAAAATAGAAAAATTACACGCATAACAAAATTTTACTTATTGTTATTATTATTGCAATGAATTATGGACTATGTAGAGAGATGATACAGGATCTTTGCAAGGAAAACAGTCTATTACCATCTGTATAAAGCAAATCAATGGACAACTAGAAGCACGCAGAGAGTGCATACCTCTGCCAAGGCAATAGAGTCACTGAAGGAATAAATATGTTCACACATGAAGAATTACATTAAAATCATCTCTTTCTCAAGTACAATGGTGATGTGCTTTTTTCCCTGTCTGGCAGTGCTAATGAATCCTTTTAAAAATTCCTAGATCCAGATCAGGATTTGCATTACCACCAAAATTTAATGACATCTAAGTTAGGGTAAGAAGCACCTCTGTTGAATATTTCATAGAAATCTGTACATGAATTTTTGAGTTATCATGTCAGGATCTAGGTCATGATCCAGATCACCATGGCATCTAAGCTGGATTAAGATGCAACTCTGGTAAAGATTTCATAAAAATCTTTTCAGAACTTCTTGAGTTATCATGCAAACCAACTAACCAATGAACAAACAAAAAAATCCTGGATCAGGATCAGGATCCAGATCACCAAAATTTAATGGCATGCAGGTTAGGCTAAGGCTCTTAAAAATCTGTTCATAACTTTTTGAGTTCTCCTGCTAACCAATGAACAGAAACAAAATTTCCTAGATTTGGATCACCACCAGAAGTTAATAGTATCTAAATATGGCCAAGACACACCTCTGTTTAAAGATTTATAAAAATCTGTTCATAACTTTTTGAGTTATCTTGTGCAGGTTCCAGATCATGATCCAGATCACCACCAAAATTTAATGGCATT